AACTGGAAACACAGGGAATCCAGGACAGATGATCCCTTTAGGACCAGTGGTGAGAGCGGCAATGCCGGGAGGTTGGGGTAGAAAGGGGGAACCAATTACAGGGATCTACATATAACCTCCTCCCTGGGGGACGGACAACAGAAAAGTGGGTGAAGGGAGATGTCGGACGGTGTAAGATATGACAAAATAATAATTTATAAACTATCAAGGGTTCATGAGGGAGGGGCGAGTAGGGAGGGAGAGGGAAAATTGAGGAGCTGATGCCAAGGGCTTAAGTGGAGAGCAAATGTTTTGAGAATGATGAGGGAAACAAATGTACAGATGTGTTTGACACAATGGATGGATGTATGGATTGTGAAAAGAGATGTATGTATGAGCCCCCAATGAAATGATTTTTTTTTTAAAAAAGAATATATAGGTGGGCACTCCATAGCCCACAGGTCACCAAAAAGTAAGAGGAAGAAGGAATGAGACTAACAGGCTGTCTATCACACTCTTTCGCTAGCATCCCAAGCAAGACTTTCAAAAGCTCTAGATCAAGGATCTATGCAGTCTTAAAAGGGGCATATTCAGAGGCTTAACATCTGCCTTCCTCAGGATCCCAAGGCGGTGTTCCCTCCCTCTACTCCTGCTGCTGACTCAGCACAGTTCTCCAGGCAGCTGCTTAGCCCTCCTGGGAAATGGCATCCCCGGCAGCCGTGCACTGCCGGGGCTCTCTACTTCAAAGACAACTGGTGGGACCAGCCCTATTCCCTCTCCTGTGCCCCCCCAGAATAGTCTCAAAGGAAAGGGCCTTGTGCAGGAGGGAACAGGGTCAGCAGAACACACCATTTTCACTCTTCAAGCAAAACGACCCTCCTTGAAGTCTATGTGTTGGCCCAGAGCCAGAGAGGAAGTAAAGCCATCAACCACGCTGTGAGCCACCTTGTCATGAGGCCAGCTTCTCCCCCAGCCTTCCTCACATACTCCAGCCACTTCCTTTCATCTTCCCTTCTCTGCCCCAGACCTTTGTACATGTGGAGTCATCTCTTTACTCACCTGGCAAACTCTTCCTCACCTTCAGGACTAACCCAAATGCCAAGCTTTCTTGATAGCCTTCTCCTCCTCTGTCTGGGTTAGTCGACTGTCTACCCATGATCCTGGTTTTGCCACATTAGCCCTTGCCACTCTGTATGGTAATCGTGATCCACCCCTACACTTGACAATGAGCCATTTGAAAAGAGAAGTCCTGTCTTATTTCTTTTGCACTAAGCCCAGGGCCTGGCACACGGTGGCATAGGAAAATATACAGGTAGTCATTCACTTATTCGTTCAGCAAACATTGGGCCAGACCCAGAGCTGGTTGCTGAAGGTACAACAGCAAAGAAAGCAGATAAGAGCTCTTTCCTCAAGGAGTCTGTAGTCTAATGAGGAGACAGACAATAAACAAGTAAACAAATAATTTCAGATTAGTACTAGTGTGTTGTGAAGAAAAGAAACTGCTTTGATCAGCCTTAGCTGATAGAGGAAGTGTAATCAGCTGAGGCGCTGCAGAATGGATGAGATTACAAACACACACACATAAACAACTCTAGAACACAGCCTCATTGCTAACAGCCCATTGAATCTTGCAGAGGCTCGGCCACCTCGCAATCCAGTAGGCCGTAAAGCTTAAACCTGACTTGTGCAAAGAGGATGGTGCCGATTCACCAAAGCAAAGGGCTGGCCTCTGTACAGCTGCTTTCCTTTGGGGTTAGGGAAAGGGGGAGTGTTAAGATAGAAGGCAACACTAGCGGAATAAAATGCGATCGTTCCAGACAGCTCACTGTGTTGAAGTCCCGCAGCTGGCCTTGGGGACACAATTAAAAAACCTGTAGGGCTCCCAGTTGCATCTCCGGGGAGGCCCAGGGGTAAACATCTCATGATGACACAATAGGAGAAGTGCAGTCACAGCAGTGTGTGCGGGTGTGTGTGTCAGTGGAAGCACAGGAGGCAGGCATGCTCCTTCTGCAGGGGAAGAGGTGGGGACTGGGGAAGTGAGTAGAAGGGACAGGCGGAAAGCCTGTTGGAGATTTGTCTTGAGCTG